ATAAATATTATGGTCACAGCATCTTATACTATAATCTGAATATTAAAATCCATAGCATATATTCTCCTACTAGTTGTTTGAAATGAGTGTACCAAAATGGTCCTTTCCAGCAGCCTTTTTTTTTACTTTTTTTCTTCTTACAGCTTTTCCTTCAGTAACTTTCAGCAATATTTAGCTAGTGTTAGTCAGAGTGAAATTGGATAATTCACAAAATAACAAAGTAATAGACTCAGAATTCTGCTGTTTATAAAGAAGCCTAACATAGGATAAAGTGAAAAATGCTGTGTTAATGGTATTTTTTTTTTTGTACTTAGTACTCTGTGTCACCACATTCTACTTTTTCTTTATGGGTGTATCCAAATTATTTTTATGTTATTTTGGTTTTACTTAAAACTACTAAAGAGTAGAGAAACTAAGAAAGCACTACATTTAATTATTTTCACTGAAGATCCTAAGTGTGTCTAGATAACCTCTTACTCAATGCAGTTGAGGCCTTTAGTTTTAAATAGTAGATAGCACGTGATGAGGTGAGAGCTGGACTTAAATGCCATCTTTTTCTGGTCAGTTCCATGCTCGTTGCTGGTCATGTACCTACCTATCCGTGGAGCCAAAGAAAATGATCCTTTGTTATCTCAACCATCTCTGAAGGAAAAGAATATGGATGTAATTTCAAAGTACTATTCTCATAGTGCCATCCCTTGATGGTTTGCTTTTAAACTAAAAGTACTGATTTTCTTTTAGAGCAGCCCTGATTCACAGAAATTATTCACTGAATTTTTTTTATTCTCCTTTACCAAATGTATATTCTCAAGAAAGACAAAGCATTCACATCTGAAGACATAAAAATGGCAGTAAATAAGGTGGTAGCTGGTAAGTAGTAAAATTATCTGGTATAAATCATAATTTATTTCATCAAAACATTCTGTTCCTCAGGAAGCTGGAAAGAGCAGGGTGATTCCATTTATGAAAACATTTGCTTTCTCTATGTTTTATTTATTATGTTTTAGGAACTCTTTGTGAAACAGGCAAACCTTCCTCCTGACTGCTAAGTGAGAAATTCTTAAAGTTCACATTGCAGACCTTGTTTGTGGTGTAGAGCTATAGTTAACTTGTTCCAATTTGCTGGAACTAAAGGCTCAATATTCATATTTCTCTGCTCGAGAACCAGACTGTAATCCACAGACAGGGAGGATCCATGGCAGTTGTACACTGTTATTTAGATCAGTTCAGGTAAACAGTTGTCAAAATATGGTCAATAAGAAGAGGTGTGTGATATGCCATAGCTGGCCTTTAAACTAAAGGGGATTTTTTCCTGACCAAATGGTATGTCATAGATAATGGATATTCTGTGCTGCAGCTTTGGGAAGTAAAGATGCAGAGAGCAAGGAAAGGCCCCTTATATTCTTCCAGGTAGGTAGATAAATCTAGCTTAATAAATCAGCAAGTCTTTTCAGCATATCAGAGCAAATTTAGCAAAATCAGCTGGGTCAAAAACATTACCCCCTCCTCTGCTTATGTCATATTATGTAAATAAATCAGCATGCTAGCTCTCCAGTAAATTTGGCATACTTTTCAGGAACAAAGTGAAAATAATTTCTAGCAACAGGCACTTCACACAACTATAAAAATGGTTTTGCCTCCTTCCTTCATCATGAAAGGGATTTTTGCCTAAAGGAAAAATAAAAAATACATGCATTCATCCCTCCCTGTCTTGGGCACATATGTTTAAAATCAAGTCAGGAACAATATATTCTGCTAGTGATTTTCAAGAACTCTTAATATTCATGTTTTCACTAGTAATATAAAACTCAATTAAATGTATCTACAATCAGGATGATACACATTGAGAACCAAAGTGTTCAGGAACAGTAGAAAGTATCCGGGAAAAAAAAACATAGAGGTTGCTTAACTTTGTGCCTTTCATCCCCAGATGAGTGATTATGCCTCTAAAACTTTCTTAGAAGCATTCATAACTGTATATGTACAGGCAATGTTTGTCCTAGAATTGCTATCCCAAAACACAGATTAAAAATAAATAAAAAACTTGGTTTGAATTGTACTTAAAAATTTTAAATCTCAATTTGTATATAGTTTTCGTATTAATGACTGTTTAGAAAAATTACTGTTTGTTATGTGGCAAAGTAAAAAAACTTATTTTGTTTACATGATGGAAAGCTAGGTTTTCAGAATCTGCTTCTTTTTCTCCATTTCACATCTTTCTCCTACTCCATTCTGATTTTTACACAGTAAAACACTTAAGGTAGACCAAGCCTGTATTAAACGTCCCAATGCCAAAGAAGCTCAAAAGTAGCTTTAAATAGTTTCATGCACTACATATGGCCCAGAGTCCCATGAGTTATTTCATTTAGTCACCTTTTCTTACCCTTAAAACTAATTTTTTTTCTCCTCTGTGACTGTATGGAAGACTCACACAGTCAGAGGAGAAAATCAGCAACTAATACTGTTGAGGGAAACAGTGAAATACAAAGGTACTCCACAGAGCCCATAGCACTTATGGAAGTTTCAAGGCAGAGAATAAAGGTAACTGTGAACCAGATGAGGTGCCAATATTATCATTTAAAGATTGATTTGCAGTTTTTAAGTTTGAATTTCATTACTCTTGTAAATTTATAAGATATTTAGTGCTGTTTTTAAAAGACATTAAATTTTCATGAAAAAAATTAACAGAACTCTGTTTAGGAAAGATCCTGCTGATATATTGCCTATTTAATTTTTATGCTACCTTTTTCACAACAATATCTGAAGTTTTAAGTAACAAATATTTATTACATTCTTCTGTTCTTGTTTCTCATTCACCACATAAATCATGGTCTTCCTCTCTCTGCCTTTATAGCAGCCAGCTGCGGTTTTAGAAACAAATTATTATGACTTCAAGTGATGAATAAACAGCAGAAGCAAAGGAAGTCTTCAGATACTATCCACATAAAAATCCCATTAATAACATAACGTAGGGAAAGAGAACTACAGCAAAGCTGTAAAAAAGCAGCTTTGCACCTAGGCAAGATATATTCCATTTCTCCAAGATGCATTAGTGAACTTTAAGTAAATAGCCCTAATTTGAACACTATGATATCAAGATAACATATTTTTGAGCAAAGGGTCTGTGCCTGCATATACAGAATTATTTTAGTAATGAAACCAGATCTGTACTAATTTTTTACTGTTCTCGTGAATATAGCAAAGCCAGTGCCATTCTGGAAAAATTGATAGAAGTTTTATGCAAGATCTCACATCATCGGTAGCTGAACTGTCAACTAAATTTCAAAGAGTACAAATGTATTCTCTCCCCTCTTCACATCTATCCAACAGAAAGTTAGTGGGGATTCTGCAAGAGTGGAATCTGAGGCTATCTGAACTGCACGGACAAAAACAGGAACAAGAATGACCTTCAGGACCTAAATTGTTTTAAACCATTTCTTAGAATGCTTAAGAAAGCCCGTGTTTGTTCCTCAGACCTCATTTTAAATCTGTGCTGTTGCCAGGGATTAAAACCACCTTTCTTCATAAACTGAATAAATTAAATTCAAAACCACCCAGGCATTACAAAAAGGTGAAACTATACTGACCAATATTTCACTTAACAAAGCAGATTTTTTTTTCTTAGATGAATCTGCTCACTTACTAAAGATAGCACTTAATTTTCAAGATAACTATTAACTCTCTTATTCCCTGATGCTTAAGAATTATAAGCAATAGCTGTTACAAAGTCCTTCAGGAACTGTTTTTTCTGTGTTTTTTTTATTATTTTAATTATTATTATTTTAAAGAAACGTCGAAATACAGGCGTTACTGGGGAGTACGACCCAAGGTAGCGTGTCCCTATGGGAACTTTCTCTGTGCAGAGGAACTGCCCCGCTGTCTCAGCCAGACAGTCCAGCCTAATACATATTCATTTACCACTTTGATAACAAAGGTTCCCTCCCCCCTCCCTGCCTGATTTCTAAGGAGATTATTTTGTACTTTTTTTTTTTTTTTCCGGGGGCTTCCAAAAGACACCCCTTAATCCTTCTCCCGCCAATTCACCCTCCCAAACACCGTCGTGCAATTTGCAAGGAGCCCTGACCTGCAGCCAAGGGCAGGGGTGAAACTATTATGGCTACTTTTCCTTTGTTTCCCCTCTTTTTTTTCTTCTTTTTTTCTTTTTTTTTTTTTTTTTTCCCCGCTGTGAGCGTGTGTGTGTGTGTGTCTCCCTAAAGTCGGCTCGGAGCCGCCCGGCCAGCGGCAGAAGGTGGCTGGTTACCGAGCAGCACCCGCGGCCCAATCAATCATCTTTACCGCCGAAAAACAGCTTCGCGGTTATTAAAAAAAAAATAATGAAAAAAAGGAGAAGAAAGAAAGAAAGAATCGGAGCGGGGGTGTGTGGGGGGAGAAGATCGGCGCGCGCATCGGCGGGCAATGGCTGTTTGTAGCAACGAGGTATTTAGCGCCGGAGGGTGAAGGGGGGTGGAGACCAGGGTGGGGTGTCCCAGGAGCTTCGGCCGCCGCAAGTCCCTGGCACGGAGCTCCTGGCATCGGCCCCTGACGCGCTCCCGGCCCTGAGGGCGGGCCCCGCCGCCGCGCTCAGGTGCCCGCGGCCGCCGGCGCCGGGCAGGTCGGGCACCCCTCGCCCCGCCGCCCCGGCCGGGGGCCGCGCTCCGCTCCCGCCCGGTTACCTCAGGGGGTCCCGCCGTACCCGGCCCTGCCGGCCCGGTCCCCCCGCGCTCCTGGACACTGACCTGCGCGTCGCCCGCGGCCCCGCGGGCGGAGGAGGAGGAGGAGGAGGAGGAGGAGGCGGGGGGGCCGCGGGACAGCATTCGGCCACCGCTACCCCAGCGTGACAGGGGCGGCGGCTCGGTGCGTCGGCCCCGGCTGGCCGCGATCGCGGCGGAGGCGCCGGAGCGGGTCCTGTCACATGATGCGGTTCCTGGAAAGTTCCTGGAAAGCAGCCTTTGTATGTAACCATCCCGGGAGGGGGGAGCGGCGGGGGCAGGATGCCCTCGCCTCGCAATCAAAGGCGAGCAGACCGCCCGCGCCGGGGAGAGAGGGGGGGAGAGGAGGGTGTTGTTTCCCCAGAAGCACCATCCTTCTCCGGCAGCCCCTGTCCGCCCCAGCACAGCCTCAACGCTTCTTCCCGGCGGCGAGTGCTCTGTCCCTGCAGCCCCTCAACGCCGCCGGGAGCCAGAACAACCTGACCGCCCCATCTCCAGGCGGTGGCAGCGGCGGCCACAGCCCCGTCCCTCCGAGCTCGGGTGAGTCCGCTCGCCCCCCTCTGCTCGATGAGCTGCCGCGCTCCGCGAGCGGGCAGCCCGCCTCCCCGCTCCCGGGCCGGCGCTGCCGACCGGCGGGATGCGGCTCTTCCGCAGCCGACGGCAGGCTGCCGGGGGATACCCGTCTGCAGCCATACCCCAGCGCCTCGCAAGCCTTCCGTTCCCACCGAACTCCCGCGAGTGGCGGCGCTTCGCGGGCAGGCTCTCCCGGAGCTTCCCTTTCACAAGAGGTCGCGCCCGGACACGGCCGGCAGGGCTGCTCCCACCTGTGCTCGGCGGCCCCGCGCCCGCAGCCGCTCCGGTGACAGGCGCACCTGCGCCCCGTCCCCGAGCCGGTGGCGGGAGCTTCTAAGCCCAGCGGAAGAAGGGGATAGGCTTTGCTGGGGGTTGCTGCTAATGTGCCTGCACATGTTACGATAGAAACCCGGTAGAGCAGCCTATTAGTTGCCACTACAGTTTAATTTGAAAAAGTTTCTGAGCTCCGCCATGGAACTTGTTACGGGAGGAACCAACTCGGCATAATGCCTCACCTGGCAGCTGCTGCGCACCCGGAGGCAGAGAGTCCGCCCGGTTCGCAAGCACCAGCGAGGGGTCGCGGTCTTTCCCGGGCCTCCCTCCACCCCAGCTAAGCCGGCTAGGCTCCCTCTCCCTGGTGCTGCCCGACTTTGTATCGCTCCCGACCTGACGGTGCTCCTAGAAAGGGGAGGGTCTTTTTGTCCCTCCCGTTCGCTTCAGCCGAGTGGAAAGGTTTTTTGTTTGTTTGTTTGTTTTTCCTAATATCATCATTTAATAGAGAGGGAAAACCACATTTCCTGTCCCCGCTAATTATATCTCAGCCTCCACCGTACTGCCCCTTCCCGTTCCCAGCGGCCAGCGAGCCCCCGGCCAGAGCACCCGCTCCGCAGTTCCTCGGACACGTAGCTGCCCGGGAGAAGCTCTCCCACCCCGGGAGCACGACCCAGACAGGGCTCCCGTTCCTGGAGGTACGAGCTGTCGTATGATCTTACTGAAAAGCATTGCTGTACTGTTCCTACGCACCGCAGCGTGCAACCCAGGCTGGGATTGCCCCGCTTCGTTGGTTACCCCTCCTCACTCGTACCTTTACCTGCTCGGCTCTCCCCCACGACCTCCTCCCTCCCCAAACGCCCCCGCCGCGGTGCTGCCGGCCAGGTTCGCCTGCTCCGGCGGAGGGAGCGGCGCATCAGCAGGTTTGCCCTTGCAATAAAGCGAGACCACCTTCGCGGGCCGCTGCCTCCGCCGCTTGCCCGGTGGAGGGGAGCCGAGGACAGGCTGGGCGGTGGGGGGAGGAGATGTCCCTCCCCCGTTCCGCCGCGAGGTGATCTCTCGCCTCGGGTCCCTCCTTTGGATGCTGGGAAGTTCCGAAGCGGGATCTCCAGAAACACACGGACTGCGTCGGGAGCGCCTCTCGCGGGGCTCGCCGCTAACCACGCTGTCTCTCCGCTCGCAGGCGGTGCCCGGGCTGGGGGCCGGGACCATGTACCCGGCGCGGCGCTGAACCCCACGGCGGCGGCGAAGCGGAGCCCTCTCCCGCCGGCAGTCCCCGACCTGCGTGCGAGCGGGGCCGCGCCCGCCGCAGCTGCCGCCCATGACCCTGCGCTCCGCCGAGTCCCTGGAGAGCGCGGAGAGCTCCCGGGAGCGCTGGGGGCACCGCGGGGCGGCGGCGCCCGTTGCCGAGGAGTCCCGTGAGGCGGCGCAGCTGGCCGCGGCTATGGAGGAGCTGCGGCGGGCAGGTAAGCCCGGGCGGCCGGGAAGGAGGAAGCGCCCGGGGCGGCGGCGCTCGCCGAGGCTCCCGGCTCCCCGCCGTCCGCCGCGCCGAGGTCTCGGGGGAGGCGGGAAGCCCCGCCGGGCCGAGAGGGGAAGCGGGCGGCGGGGCGACGCTTGGCCATCGCCGCCCGGCGCTGCGGGGTCGCGCTCTCGCGGCAGAGAGGGGCGGCGGCGGCGGCTCCGACCTTCCACGGGCTACGGCGGCGGCCGAAGAGAAAGCGCCGGCAGCGCCGCGCCCCGGCGGCAGCCCAGGATCGGCGGCCGAGAGAGGGCCGGGCGCTGCCGCCGGCCGGGGCGGCCACGGCGCCGCATCCCCTCGGCCCCGCGTACCTGCGCTCCGCTCGCCGGCGTGGCGGCGGCTCACCCGGCCCGGCAGGACGCGGGGCTTGGCGGCGGGTAGGGCTTTTTTGTGTCCATCGCCGCCGCGCCAGGACCGCAGCAGCCCCGCCTGAGTTGTTTTCTTACCCCTCTCTGTTTCCGATCGCTATACAAAGCTCATTTCAACAGCAGCCTGCCCGGAGTTGCCGGGCTCTCTGCGGACTGCCAGCCTGTGCCGTGCGGACGCTGCGCCGGCCCCGGCGGGAGAGCGGCGGGGAGCCGCGGGACTCGTCCCTGCTGCCTCGGGGGCGGCCCGCCGGGTCCGCGGCTCCCGCGTCTGCCTCGCAGGACGCTGCGGGAAAGTTTGTGCCTGTGTATGCACAGATATGAAAATAAAGAGTGACCTGGACGGCTCTGTCAAAACGAGACGCATTGTAAAGCAAATGGATTTAAATAGCAAATAAAAATTTACTGTGCCTGCAGGACTTCAGCTTTCAAAAAACAAAGGCAATAGGTGATTACAAGTATGTCAGCTAAAGAGCAGCTTTTTAAACAAACAGGAATAAACAAATCCCTTTTTTCTCTCGTTTTTTAACAGGATGGTACTGGGGCAACATGACTGTTGCTGAAGCCAAAGAGAGATTACAGGATGCCCCCGAAGGAACCTTTTTGGTTAGGGATAGTTCGCATTCAGAGTATCTACTGACTATTTCAGTAAAAACATCAGCGGGACCGACCAATCTACGTATAGAATATCAAGATGGCAAGTTTAGACTGGATTCTATCACTTGTGTCAGATCTAGACTTAAACAGTTCAACAGCGTTGTGCATTTGATTGAGTACTATGTTCTTATGTGCAAGGACAGAACTGAAACACCTTCAAATGGAACAGTTCATCTTTACTTGAACAAACCCCTCTATACGTCTACTCCATCTCTTCAACACCGCTGCAGAATAGCTATAAACAAGAGTACAAATCAGATCTGGGAGCTGCCATTACCAACAAGACTAAAAGAGTACTTGAAAGAGTACCAATACCAGGTATAAATATATTTTCTAAATGCCTCTAACATAGAGTAACTTTTGAATGCAGTTCTTAAAATCAGCCAAAGAACTGAGTAACCAGCTGTACAACTCCACATGGAATTCACTATCAAAACAGTGGCAGTTCCAGGGAAAAGGTTTTTATTTCAGATGCCACAAAGGGAGACTTTATGTAGAATAATCCCAACTTATGTCCTTGGGGGTTCAACAAGGTGGCACGCTATTCTTGCAAGGAGAGAGAAGTCAGGAATCTGTCCAGATTGTGTTGCTTTGTCAATGGCATAAAATGCTGCTCTAACTATCAAATGCTTACTGAAGCAGTGGGACTGGGAGAGACTGCAGAAGTGGTCAGAGACATATGAGAGTTCACAAGTATCTCACTTGTCTGATTCCAAGATTAATTTGGTGCTGGTGTTCATATAATCCTAAAAGCTTAACTAGATCACACTGTGATAATCTTGCTGAAGTTATGTAACTAATCAAATCCAGTCAGAAAATGATCATGTATTCAGTTTTACTGAACTATTCTCCTGCTTTTCTGCAAGCAAAGGAGTACTGTAAGTAATCAGTTTAAAACATTGTTTTTCAAAGTTCTCTAAAGGCTGACCTTAAGAAGAAATGCCACATCTTTCACAGGAACTTAGTATGTTGCTGATTATACCAGATTGGTATCCCAGAATCCTTAACATGTTAACATCTTCACAGTGGTGATATATCCATGTTATTACTATTAAGCCTCTTTTGGTTGAGGCTTTAAGACTGTAGGCTGCAGACTTGCAGTTGCTCAGTTCCAATGTCAAAACATGGATATCAGCAGTTACAGCTGTCTTTCTACAGTGTAGAATGTTTTCTTCAGCTTGTTTCCCAAAATATGGGGAAATAGGATTTGGGTTTTGTTTGTTGGGTCTTTTTTGTTTGTTTGTTTTTGAGGTGGTCAGTTTTTTCTTTTTTTTTCTTTTTTTTTTTTTTTTTTTTTTTTTTTTTTTTTTACTTCTAATTCACCATTGTCACTATCAGACTATTGCTCAATAAAGTAAATCAAATTGTACAACAATCTCCCAATATTTGTATGTATCGATTTGCTATTATTGAGGAAACAGTGCTCTTATGAATCTATATAATTTTCCCAGCTAATACTCAGATAACTGCACATGTATCAGTAAGGATGAATACTCCTACTTTGCCTTTGTGGTATATCTGGATTACGTTCAGATTAGTGGCTTAGAGGCTGCCTGCTGAATTCCTGTAGTTAGGTATTAGCATAGGACCTTGCTTTTTCTGTTACAGTAGTCTTCCAAATGGGAAGAGGGGACTAAGACCCTCAGTACCCATTCCTCAGATTAAATCTGAAGTACCTAATAGAAGAAATATTTAGGATGAGAATAGCAGGAGAGCAGTAAAGAGAGACAAGGACATAGACTAATCCTCAGTCAACAAATTCATAGTTTTAGCTCTTTCCCTATCTTATTTGTTAATTAAAGCAAAGATCAGTACTTGAACAAGGAGGATTGTCAAGACTTGCTGTAATCTAGCTCTGCCCAGGCTGAATTAGAAACAACATAAAATAATCTTCTTGTTTTCCTTGTGACTTTACTGCCCTGTTGTACTGTCAAGATGTTCTGTCCCTTCTCATAAACTTTGGGGCACTGATCAGCTTATTTGTGGCATTTAAACTCCCAGTATTATACTCTCAATTTTTCAGTAACATGCTGGCAGAAATGAGTAGCAGAGCTGTTCAGGAAAACAAGATACCAAGAACCTGAGGCAGAGTGGATGGTTCCTTGGTATGCCAGATACTTGATATGTTCTCTCTATGGAAAAAACAGCTTTTCTCCTTCTCCTCCATGGAATAAATTTTCTGTACCCATTTTTAATGCAAGCTTTCATGTAGAAATGGGGGAGTTTTCGCCTGAAAAAAAATGAAACAAAATATTTTGTTATGTAAATTTTTCCCCATGTCCTGCCAAAACATAGTTGGAAATTCTTCACGCTACATGGTGACCACCCTTTGGTTCCCATCCCAGAAAACCTCTTGTATTCCAGGTGTGTGCCATAACCAAACAGTTCTCATCAGTCTTGTTAGGATCTGCCACCCTAGGCTGAGGAGCTTTTCCTGGGAGCAGAGCCTGTGAAAGAACCATATGCCTGGGAATACTTTTCATTCTGAAGAATCTGTTTTCTTACAGTTCTTGTCTAGCTCTACCTTCCAGTGAGAGAGCTGCTATATGGAATAACTTCTGTCACAGTTAGAAACACTCTAATCTGCTGCTATGTTAACCTTCTACTATTGTGCATTTTCAGTCAAGGTGATATGCTTGAGGTCTCAATGATAAACACATTGCACTAAGGTCCTTTAAAATAATTCCTCACTGGCTAGCCCCTGGCCTGAGGATTTAAAATCAAGAATACCAATGCTGGAGCAAGCAGACTGAGAAGATAAGCACAATGAGACTGCTATACTGCAAATATAAGAATTTATGGCTTATTGCTGGCAGCCTACTGTAAGCAGTCATAGGCCAAGTGTACCCCATGGCAGAGCCAAGCTCTGAGGAGCGACATGGCCCAGATGCAGGGAAGCTTGCTGGGTTTCCTGATAAGCAGTTCTCCAAAGCACAAGGGCAAATGGTATAGGCTGAGGACAAGGAGTGCTAGTAAAGTGAAATGTGGTGATTCTTGTAAATAATCAAGATTAGTTACTGTGATGTGGAATCAAGTCACCAAACATTGAGCATACTGACTTGGACTTCATGTCACTTGTATGAATTCCTGTGAGGAAAAGTAGGGTCTGTAGCTATGGTGTGCTCGAAGCAGTGAACAGTATTTTAAACAGACTGGAGGGGGAACTAGTCCTCTTTGCATGAAAGCGCAGTTCTTGTCCTCATTAGGATGCCAGTGCCAGGGTTTGATGCATTGCAATAGTAAAACTAAACCGCACTATAGCTTGCTGAAAGCTTGGCTTCTTTCTAATGCTGCACAGAGGAAGGACTTGTTCTGGTACAAAAAATCCAAGGATAGCACATGATTAGATTACAGTGGTGCAAAGATCTTGCCTGTAGACTTGTGAATTTTTAGTCATGATCATGTTGTTCAAACATTTTTAAAAAGTTCCAGTGCCTTTTTTCTTTTTTTTTTTTTTTTTGTCTTTCTTTCTGATGTTGAGGCTTGTTTGCAGCACTAGCTTTTAAATTGCTGGCTCTTCAGATTCCAAAAATTACTTCTAACTGATATATATCATCTTGAATTGCTAGTACAGAGTGTTCAGTGAAGCCAGTTTCACACATTCGATGCCCATGAGTCAACCAAAAATCATGATAAGGACTTTAATCCTAAGCCTTTTTTTCTCACCCCATGTATTGGTTTAGTTTTTTGGTTTTGAGTCTTGAGATTTCAGATTTACCAGCTTGTACCTGGAATGTTAGTTGCTGAAAACCTCTTTATTTTAGTTAAAGGAAAACTGAGAATCCTACAGTCTTAAAAAAGTAATGCTTAAAAAAAACCCCAAACAACCAAACCAAACACAATTGCAAGATGAATGATGAAAATAGAATTGGTGACAGTATTTCATTTAGCACTAAACCTAGCAGAAGTGTGAACTATAGCAGCATTTTAGTTGTATGGGTATTTTCCTGCTGATAGTATTATCACCAGAGACAGAAAATGGTTCAAGTACAAGATGAATGGGTAGAGTGGGAATGTATCCAAGCAGCTGGACCCAGTGCATTAGAAGTAATTTTATTTTAATCTGATCTCGTCTGTATTGTCCTTATTATATTTTATGTAACCACATTCTAGATAAACAATACACAATTATTAGCAAGAAGGAAAAATTATTCACTAGAATATGGGGGCAGAGGTTTTTTTTTAATATCTTAAAACAATGAGAAACTTACTCTTCACTAGAAATGATGGAGCTTTATAATCTGAGACTCTTACTAAGTCTCATCACCTTGAGAAAACAATCTATACACAGTATGAAGGACAGGGTTCTGTAGCTGCATGAATTCCTGTACCTTAGCCAACTCCCATGTCTTAGTAAAATGTTCCTGCAGCTAAATTACCTTGTTAAAGATTGTAAAAAACTTTATTTGCTTACATGTTCTATTCAAGAGCTTTGTCTTGTATTCCTGATAACAATCCTATGGATTTTTCCTTTGTCTATAAGCTTAGGCTCTAGTGGAAAGTAAGTCGAGTGGTGTCAGGGCTTTGCTCTCCTTAAGCCAAAACACATGATGGAAATGGGAAGAGATATCTTTAGACAGGGCTATCACCTCTAAGGGTCATTTAAAATAAAGTAAAATAAAATTTCTGCTGACTTCACTGTCATTAAAATGAATCTAAGTATCATATTTACTGTTAGAGGAAACAATGGCTTAAGGGATTCTAGAAATGGTATTGTTAATTCTCAATCATACAAAACTTGACCAAAAGGCAGAATTTTATTTAGACAAAACTAGAGAAATAAAATAAACTTTTAGTATCTAAACCATAAAAATTCCAAATAGAATAAACAGAAATTGGTTGAAAGGTCTGAGCTGGTTAGTTCTTTATACACAAAGGAAGTGAGTATGACAAGATACTTTGGTATCTCAGCCTAGCTCCTGAAAACCAGTTCTTTATTAGTGTTAAATTCAGCAGGTCTTAGTATTTTGCTACACCATTAGCACGACTGAAAATACCTGGAAACAGTATTCCACTTCAGTCATCATGGTCTGAGATCACTTTACAACACAGTGATTTGCCACAGTAGTGCTGAAATGGGGTAATTTCTACAGTGGGCTGAATATCAGTCAAAGGAAGCGTGAGGCAGAGTTGGTACTGCCCGAGGCCATGAAAGGTATCAGGTGCTGACCATCCTTGGTCCTTACCTGGTGTCTTAGATAGAAGGCACACTACAAACTACGTGAAATATAGCTGCCAGGAAAACAGATGATAAACTACTCTGCTTGCTAAGGAGGGAAAAGGGTCTGAAGGGTCTGAGAAGAGACTGAAGGGAAAGAACGTGGAAGACTCAGCAGCTCCTGTGAGAGGTGGCACTTTTCACAAGGTGTATCAACTAACTAACCATCAGGATGATTATGATACTGAAAAGTGTTATTAGTATAGATTAAAAGTCCAGGGGGGTAACTAGTATCAGTACAGTTTGAATCCACATATAAACAAAGTCTGTCTAGATAACTGAATTTCAGGGGAAAAAAAAAGCTTCTAAGCAAAATCAGTCTGTCCTGGTGTCAGGGTTACCAAACCAGGGGAGGGATTAACTGTGTTTATTAATCAGGTTATCTACAGGGCTTTGAAGCAGCCAGTACCTCTGATAAAGTCTATAGAAATGTAAAAACATATCACCATCATAATGGTGTTTAATCTGCCTGATAAATTGTGAATTTTATTCTACTTAGATCCTGTTTTAGAAAGGGATTGCACATGTGTTACATTTTGTTTTCTTCCTGAGCTGAAGCCACTAACTCTCCAGGAACTGAAATACCAAAATAATATGACTCCTTTCTTTGGTATTAAGGAGGAATATAATGCCAGAGCAAAAGCTACTTATATTAGCATAAGAGGTGCTTGGGTACTGAAACAGGATCCCCAGGGAAGTGGTCACAGCACCAAGCCTGACAGAGTTCAAGAAGCATTTGGATGATTATGTCAGGCACATGGAGTGACTCTTGGGGATGATCCTCTGCAGGGTTGAGATTTGGACTCAATGATCCTCATGGGTCCCTTCCAACTCAGCATATCCTGTGATTCTGTGAAGGCGTTTAGTAGGAAAACCTTCAAACAGATACTACGCAGGAAAAGTTTAGTGCTGAGTGCTGCAAAGAAAAAATACATAAAAAAAACCACAACAAAACAAAACAAAAACCAACCACCAAATTCTATGGTCCTATTTTGATTTTTCTTTCACTAGCAGGCAGGGTTTATGTAAGTAAATCCTTTTGATTCTAGTCAAATTGTTCCATAACTGAAGTTCCATAGCTGAGGTTTGGAATTTGGAGCAATGTTGGTTAACAAATAATAAATGCAGAGGTATGTTAAATGTGCAGAAAGATTCAAAGCTCCATGCAAATTCTCCTTTTGAGATTATTTGGATCAGGCTTGATAACAGGAGTTATATAGAAAATAGTTGTAAATCTGGTAGCTGAAAGCTGTAAAATCCCTTTTCAAAATGCTTTGATACAGTTTAACTGTATGTCTTCAGGTTGCAGCCCTAAAATAGGATCTGTTCAGCTGAGTCGCTGTACCCACACTATGTTTGTCTCAGGAGGAGTCTCCAAATTTGAGACACACCTATATTACATGTCATACATTTGCTTTTTTCTTAACCAGTGTGCTGTTTGACAGGTATGTGAGACAGATATGCAGGGCAGAATAAGTTGCGGATCAACTGTTACTGTTCAAGGGATTTAATTTGGTCCATTTTCTTTAGGAAGAGAAACAAGACTGAGCTGCAATTTTCCATCTGTAAAGTGGGAAGTGGGCTCAACATTTTGTAATTTATCAGCATAGGGTGAAAAGTGGTTTATATTTCAATTAACATTGATGGGAACTTAAGCTGCAGTGATGACAGTATCTTTGGCTGAATTGCTAGAAAGGGAAAAGTAAGTTAAGAAAGTGAGATCCTTGTCTAACTATATTGCAGTGGAAGTGGCATCACAGCTCCTTTGTGAGCTGAAGTGCTTCAGGCGTGTGTTGTCTTCAAGAGAAACTGGCTGTGAGAAGATAACTGTTTTCTGAAAATTCATCTGTTTCTTTTAACTCCCCTGATGGAGGATGCAGTGCCCACTGCAGGCTGCTTCACTAGGCTGAATGCAGACAGGTTTCATTTTGGAAGGGAACAAAATAGAGTAAGTGAAATTTTAATTGAAGGGTACTTTTTGTTTGAAAACACAATGTATGGAAAAAGTATAAGCAGTAGCACATCTCTTGCTGTAAAAATTTCTCATTAATCATTACTAGCTCCTGAAAAGTATAACCTTAAAGTAAGAACCTTTAATAATACAGGTATTGTATATGACTTTGTCCAGTTCAAATCCTGAGAAATGGAAGATTACAAAAAGCAATAATTATTCTCCCCTTAAATAAAACCAACCTTCCAGTCTTTTATGTAAAATGCTAGAGAACCATTTCATATGCTGTAATTTGCAAACAAAATAAGTTGGTTTTGTGGAAAGGTTTCGGACTTGAATCTTAAATTCATTTTAGTTATTTGTCAATGTTTCATTTTCAGGTTAATTAGTGAATTTTCTTTGTTCTCACATTATTAAAATGGTGCTTTACATTTAAAAAATAATTTCCTAAGTCTGGAATAAATAATATATAATAAGAGGCTTGTAATATTTCATCTGTCTCCTCAAAGCATCTTTAAATTAAACTTAAAAATAAACAGAGAACTATATTAATTCATGTATTTAAAGAAAATGGACTAAAAATTCTGAGACATACTGAGTCATATTTTACAAATATTAATTTCAAGTTTTTTATTACAATTCATTGGAGGTTTTTTTTTTTTTTCCGGAATGTATGCAAATGTTTTGCATTTGATGCCTGTTTCTTTTTTATAACTATTCCTCATTCAACTTTTTGCTACAGATTATTTGTATCAAAGTAAACAGCATTAAGAATTCACTGCAGTACTGGTAATAGAAACTTTATTATTGAAACAAATGTAAATGTATAGACACTACAGGGTCACTTTAAACTCCCTGGTTTAAGGTATTTTAAAACTTTCTGTGCTATATTTTACCTACATGCTGGACATGCCTTTTAATAAAATAATACTTTTAAGGAAGTTCATGATGTGTCACCTATATTTTGTATTCATTCTCTTTTTGAACTGCATTTGATTTAAAGCCTTTATTGTTTAAATGAATGGAAGTTATGGAGTATCAGAATAATTAAGCAGCAGCCCAGCTGGCCCCCTTCAGTGACGCACTACACTCCTGCCCATCATCTTTTCTTAGGAGCAATACGGAATTATTTTTGGAGTAGCAAATGCCACCTGAAGAGTGACACCCCCTTCCAGCCCACCACCTAATGCCCTCAAACCCTGCCAGCACCCACCACAGCATGCCTTAATTTTGGTCTACAGTTAGGGCAAACTTTCCATCCCAAAACCTTCCCTTCCTTGGCACCAGCTTGTTTTTTAGTGACTGGCACAGGAGACCTGGATGCTGGCATTACGGAGGCCCAAGCTTGCAAAGGGGAGTGCAATTGGGACCAGGGTGAGAAGGAAGAGGGAGGAAGGGAAGGGATTATTGTCTGGGACAGCAGTGGACAGCAATGGCTTACATGACCCTCATCTTGCCTGAAGACCACCAAGTTTGGCCCACCCTCACATATATTTTAACACTGCTTTTGAGACACAACACATAAGAAATCTTTTCTGTGCTCTTCTTTCTAAAAATGACAGGCAAGCACACAATATGTTTCTTTTTTCCCATCTTAATTTCTGAGGTTGTGGGTGAGATTTAACCAATTAGATGTGTTTTTAATAAACAAATCTAGAGGCTCATATTTTTTCTTTTGTCCTTAAAGCTGGAATGTTGTCCTCCAGACAATTGAAAACAGAATAATCCTAATAGATTAAATCTGCTTGTGCTAGTTTTAAGAATACATTTAGGCTCTTGTTATCAGCAGAAACCAACTAGTCTGTAGAAAACAAAGAAAATACATACATGCTTGAATACAGCTTGACTAATTATCATAAACCATTTTTTAAAATCTCATTATACTTGTACAGAGTTTCTAAAAAGATTTGGGACTTAAAAGTGAGCTTTAAAAGAGTGTATAGTAGTTGTAAAAATCTGGCATTATGACCAGGAAAGAGAATGTAAAGAGAATAGCACTGTCAGAAGAGATACTTGGTTCCCACAGATTTGGACTTGTGACTCTGAATTCAGCAGTCCTTAAAAGTGTGGTGAAGGTCCTTAAAAACTGATGACCGCTGGTGATCTCTCAGTCTGCAGGACCAGACAGAACAAGGTTTCAAGTCTAAAAGTCTGATGATACTCATGTGCAGGATTGACCATGAGATTTGCACAGTTAGTGGGATACTGAATTGACACCAAACTGGCTCAAATAGATATAAAGATATGTATAAGTAAATAAATAAATAAATAATATGTATTTTATACATATACACACATACACGTGTGTATATATATACATACATATATATACACATATATACATACATATACACACACACACATATATAATTTTTTTGTCCTTAAAACTGGAATAGAACCAAATCATCTTTCTGAAATTTTGTTGAACTTGGACCAGAACTGAACTGGGAGAACTCTGTGAGGGCTGAACCCAAATGAAACCAAAATAAAGAGCTTAAGGGCTTCTCTCCTTGGACTTAAAGTATTACCTGTGCACATTCTTATCCTGTAACTGTAGTGTATAACCAACAAATGGGTTGCATTGCTAAAGATGAACCCAGAACACCAGTAGCACCGTTTCTGCTAAGTAAATTTGCAGCACTGGTTATTAACTAGTGGAAGAAAAAGGAAACACCACATTTCCCCTTTAATCAGACCTGGACTTCTGCTGCTGTCCTCTTCCTTCCTAGGCTTATCTGTTTCCTTCCTTGTATCTCTGTTCAGACTGCAAGCAAAGGGATGAATAAATGCTGATGAGTAACTGCTATCATCATTTACTTGAGTGGAATCTGGAGCTGCTCTGTGTATATCCATATGTTTTGTTAACTTTCTAAGACATTCCTGGACAGTATAAAATAAATAATCCTAATAGCCTCATCTAGCAAAAAGATATAGTAAATGCAAGTGATGTAACTGCTTGTCATGATTTTCTATTTTAAAATGCAGGCACATTATCTGCAATTACGTGCAGCTATCAGGATTGCAATAATGTGATTGTGTCAAGTCTACAAGTTTGGTCACTCCAATTCCAGTTCCAACTCCAAATACAGTTCCTTAGATTATGACTGGGGGAAAAAAAAAAAAAAAAGCAAAGCTGGCAATCAGAAGTACAAGAATCCAAGAAAGGAAACTTTCAGTAGCTGTGCTGAGAAACAATCACGTAGATGGTTTATGGTGTTCTCTGCTCCCTAGTGCTGCTCTGTGCTATTTACAAATGTATTTTCTCACAAGTACTATTACAGACTATCCATGACAAGAAAATTTAAAACCACCTCAGTTGTACTTTGGCTACAATAGCAGCATACTTCTGGTCTCAGAGTTACCGAAGATGACTTACTTGTGTGGTTTCCAGTGTTGTCAAGGTCATAGTAAATATGTTAATATACCTTCCTGAAACAACCCATAGGAGTATTTAAATTTTTTATGTCTGTGTTCCTAGAAGACTAACATGTGTGCATGAGACGAAAAAACACTTACCTTGGTTTACTAAATGTATTGGAATAAGAATTATTCACAAGCAATTTAACCCTCTGTATCAAATTTATTGCCTGGAAATAATTGAAAATACAAGTGTTATGTCAATCAAATCAAAACTGCTTTAAAATGGCCAAGCAAATAGCATCTCTGCAGAAGCTGGCCACACAACAAACGTATATATTTTTTTAAACATTTCTTAAAACCAGCATACAAACTTTGCCTTTAAGACTGACTTACATTCTGTGTCCACATAAATTCTCAACTCTGGTGTCAGATACAGGAAAATCAAAGGAAAAAGATTTAAGCTTTCTCAGTGTGACTGCATATCTTTATGTAAAATCTTGCAAATAAATACCATATTAAGGATATGCAGTATGTGAGCTCTACTTTTGGTCACATTTTTCCATGGCAAGTATTTCCTGGGTACAGTATCTAGGAAAGGCACATAAAGGTTTCCATAACTTTCAAATACCCTTAAATCTGTACAATTAGTCTAAACTGAATGTACAAATAAGATTCATGCGGTGACAACAGCAACTGCAGCCACCACCTTTCCTGCTTTTCCAGAGGGTAGGCATTAGCATGCTGTGCAGACCACAGCTAGCTCGCTGTGGTTGCCTGCAGCTTCAAGGTAGCGCGTTCCAGCACTGCAGGATCTTTTTTCTATTTTTCCTTTCATCGCTATTGCGGTCCCAACATGAAAGGACAAAGGGCTGACACCACTCAATCCCGTGTAACACATGACACCTACGTAAAGAGGTGGAAGGAAGTTCTTCCATGATATGTGACAGAAAGTGATACCGCCTAATTTTTATAGCTCTGAGAATCACAGTCTTCTCTCTTCTACCACACTTTGGTTCCAGATATTCATATAAAATGACGCGAATTCAGTAATACTGTATTCAGTAATTAATAAAACGACCAGAACGTGCATAGCACTGTGGTAGACATAGGCTGGCACTTACTTTAGTAAACGGCTTTCATCTATCAAAGCTTCTTCATTTTTAGGCTGCTCAGATGAAAGTAATGAAGCCAAATATGTATAGTATTCGATATACTACTTCTCTGTGCTTGATACGACGATACAGCGCCGGGATGAAGTTCGACTTAGCGCAACGCTTGCAAATAGGAACCGATATTCCTAGAGAGTAATGGCATCAGCTGTTTCTAATGCCATTAAAACTCCAGTGTCGTAATTTCTGATTTAATTTTGGATACTCGCTAAACACCCCCACCACCCAGACGCTGGGAGCGCAGCAGGTTCTCCGAACGCCTGGAAAGGGCCCCCCTTGGTGGAGACCTCCCCCGCCAGCCCCGGGGCCGCCCGCACCGCGGGGCTGCCGGCGCGCTGCCCGCAGCTGACATGGCGGCGGCGGCCGCCCCTCCTCGGCCGGCCCGGCAGGGCGGCGGCGGCGGCCGCGGCTTCCGGCAGAGCTTGCTCGCCTTCCCCACGGATGGTGCTGCCCGCGCAGGCTCCGCGGGCGCTGCGGCGCCCGGGGTAGTTCTGTGCTGCCCTCGCGTAAGTAGGGGCGCGGGGTGCCGGCTCGCTTGCTCGGGCGCTGCCGGCGCCGCTTGCCGCGGCCCGGCCCGCCTCGGCTCGGCTGTCCCCGCCCGCCGGCCCGGGCGCCGCGCAGGGGGAAGCGGGAGAGCGGTGCCGAGGAGCCGTTCGGCGGCGGCGCCGCGGGGCCGGGGCGGGGGCCGGGCTTCCGTGGGGCGGGCCCGGGCCGCCTCCGCTGCCGCAGCCGGTGCCCGAGGGAAGGCCGGGGGGAGGCTGCTGCCGGCGGGGGTCGGGGCTGGGCCGCCGGCAGCTGGGCCCTGGCTGTTGCAGGAGCAGCAGCCTCCAGACCTCAGCTGCAGGGAAAAAGTTAAAAGCAAAACCTGATTTTTTTATGAGGGATTTTTAACCCGTAGGCGTGCTGTGAGTAGCCAGAATCACTCACAAGTTAGGCGGGGGGGACCTTATCCTTAGCTAACCAGGCGTATGGGAACGCACTTGGGGAGTCATGAGCAGCCTGTTGCAGCTGGTGTTAGGGAAAATGCCGAAGTTTTTGTAGCCAAGAAGTAATTGTGCCTTTTAGAATCAGAAAGGGTTTTTATCAAAAGTTTTATCCCCATTCATGGACAGATTCTGTGTCACACCTGAAAAAATGCAAACCTGCATGTTTTGGTGTGGTGATGGAGCAAGGATTGTGCACATTCAGCAGGACATGGACTACGTTTCTTAAAATTTGGCTTTACAATGGAAAAGGTCAATTTTCAGAAGTATCTGGGAAAGGTTTGAGCCATTTCATTTTTTTAGGTAAATGGACATCTTTTTTGTTTTCTGTGGAATTACTAGACTAAATTTATTTCAGAGCTTACTTTGCATCCTTAGATATAGCCTGTGATTAAAATGAATTTAAATTAATTCTATGTTGCACTAAAATCTATCTCAACACTGTAAACACACACAAAGTACTTAATCTTTAAAAAGACCTTGGAAAGCAGTACACCCCATCATGGAAGTTTATTAGGACAGTGCCAGGACTTTAAAACCTCAGTTGTGTGCACTCTGCAGACAGCAAGATTCCCCTTTCAGATTCATGGCTTGATAGGCATTTTTCAGCACCTAAAGATGCAAACTGAGATGGTTTGTAAGAGCCTGTTTTTGAAAAGCTTTGACTGCTTTGGTTGCGAAGAAGAGGAACTCATAAAATGCTGTACAGTGCGTGGAGAACTCAATGTTCCTCATCCAGCACATGGGCGAGGAGGCTGCTGGATGGGGACTGTCAATGGCTCATGCAGAATGTGAAGCACAGGAGTTTCGTAGCATCTGAAAGAGTTTTCTGCCTAGGTTGAGATAACACCCTCAGAGCTGCTGCTGGATGCCTGTCTTGAACTCTGGAGGTGTTTTGTGAGCTCAGGGGCATTCCAGAAGGGAGAAGTGGTGGGATTTACTGCCTAAATTTTAGTCCAGAGATCGCTTCCAGTAGTGTAAAGGTACTTTGTGTTGGAGACCAGAATCTTCAGCTTCACCTCTCCAAAATTAGCCTCCTAACATCAAGTAGGGAAATCCAGTTCTTTCTTGCCTGCTCTTTTTCCAGCTCCTTGCTTGCACTGTTGTCTCAGTCCATGATGGAGTTTGATGTTTGAGCTATGCTTTGCAAATTAGCATTTCTTAAGGACATGTGCTGGGAAAGCCGTTGTTTGATTCCCACGTGATCCCTAGGCACAAGGTAAGCACCTTGAAATTCACTTCAGTATATGAGAAGTGCACCAAATAACTCAGGAAGGTCCTCCAAGAAAGTGCCTTCCAGCAGTGCTTTTAGCTTTCAGTGGAAGCGTTTTCAGAAAGTGGCTTTACCAGAGGATGTCACAGACAGGGTTTTCCAATCTCTCTCTCTCATGGTACTATGCCCTTGGATTCTGTCCAAGGTGCCATTTGCATGCCGATACGTTGTGTTGCTTGCCTGCCCTAGATTTTAACAACCAGGTCAACCAAACAACCTATGATGGGGCCCTGGGAGCACCTCTGAAGATGAAAAAACTTTAGCGAGATTCATATAAAAGCTTTGAAAATTCCTGTCTCTCCTTGTATCCTCAAGCTGAATGAAGTAGAGTTTCTACGAGGTCTAGCTGTTCAAACAGCAGCTTCTAGTTTAATTATTAGAAACCCTCTTTAGGTAATCACAACACCTACTGTAGTTTTTTTACTTTATTATTTAGTAATGTGAAAGTATTTTGTTGTATTGTCCTGTCATCTTCCTTTTCAAGTATCATTAATGGCCCTAGGGATGTGTTTGTCGTTAAGGATCAGACCAGTCATCTTGAGTTGGTTCATAAGTCTGATACAGACTCCTGTCACGATCTTGGGTCTCTGGATCTTGACTATTCTTCTGTAGAGTAGCTATAAAATGCATCTTTTTCAGCTTTTATCTCATCAGACTGTTAGCCAAGTAAATTGGAAGCTGGCAAAGGGCATCTGATTGCTTACTGCGAACACATTAGAAGGGAGGGAGAAGAGCTTCTTAAGCTAAAGGACAATTTTGGCAGAACAAATGCCTATAAATAGAAGGTGGATAAATTTGAGATGGAAATTTGAAGAAAGTTTCTCATCATCAGATCAGTCAAACTCCAGAGCACTATTCCAGTGATTCAGGGGAGAGAACAACCTGGTGCATAAGGTGCACTTCTACCCTTTCTAAACTTGAAATGCATCACCGTAGGCCAAAGCTACCTGCGGCTGTCCCTGCTGCTGCCGCCTGGCTGTGGTGCATCTACCAGTCCTGCTGCTGCTTTTGTAATTATATCAGTGGTCAGTTGTGACATCTCTTTAATTTTTGGGGTTAGAGTTTCTTAAGGACTGACAAATGCACTAGTTGCCTTTAGTGTGGCCCTTAACCAGTTAGTGAGTGGGATTACGTGTCATGTGTTTCACTCCAGCAAAGGACTGGGCTTCACAATGCCAAAGGTTCTATTCCTCTCTAATATTTCCCAGAAATGGCTGCATTTTACCTTGTGAGACAGTGAAATCTGAGAGAAAGGAGATGGTAGAGATCATCAACAGTTTTCCCAGGCTAGTGATTCTGGGTTTGTAATTCTTTCTGAAGGTTTACAGGTGTCAAAACATCTCTTCTGGATGTTCAAACTTCAGACATCACTTCTGGATGTTAAAGTTCGCAGTGTTTTAATCTTTATACATTTCCTTACTTCATGTCTCACACTCTAGGTTGCCAGATGGATGCCAGAGACAAGCAGCTTTTACGCTCCCTGCGCATTGAGCTCTGCACAGAGGTGCTGGTGGATGGACTTGTTATTCAGTATCTCTACCAAGAAGGGATTCTTACAGACAGTCACGTTCAAGAAATAAAAGCCCAAACCACCAGTCAGAGGAAAACCATGATGCTCCTTGATATTCTTCCCACCAGAGGACCCAAAGCTTTTGAAGTGTTCTTGGATTCCTTACAGGAGTTCCCATGGGTTAAAGACAAGCTGATGATAAAGCGTAAGGAAATGACAGTACAAGATCCTTCAGGTAAGGCCAGGATTGCTGTTGCTGGTATTTTGAAGCTTGTTCTCAACCCATGATTTTAAAAGTATTGAATGTACCAGTAATTTCAAGTTAGGCATCGTGTAGATGCATGATACCAAGAAGAGGGAACAGGCTGAATTTCCTGGAAGCCAGGCAAATATCAGGAAATATTGCAAAGTGAGGGGCATGAGCAGGGCTGAGTTTCAGTAGACAAAGAGACAGCAGGAGGGGCTGCCTTGGGTGAGGCTGGGATATAGGAGGACTCGTAATTCATTACCTCAGCGGGAGTGGACTATAAAAAATCGTTTAGACTAGCTGCAGAATAGTCACTTTACCATCCATATCTGATTATTGTTTGGTTAATGTATGTTTTACAGTGATTTGTTTCTGGGTCATTTATACTGACAGAGTTTTTATTTACTTTTATTATGATTTTGATGTAATTTTGATTTAGTACCATATACTAATTTAGATTTATTTAGTTTATTATATTTACTGGAGTGCAAATATCTAGGATCATTACTTCCAAAATTACTAACCATTGCTTATTTTTAAAAGAAATGTAGGAGCTAACTGATTTAGTGGGTGTTATATAATCCTATTTAGTAAAATCTCTGGCATTTAAATGTACTTTTAAAACTAGTTTTATGGACTTGATGTTTGTTCAGAAGTGATTTCTTTACCAATCCATGCATGCAATTGACTAAGCTGTTTTGAAGTCAAGACAACTGCTTAAAATTCACATTTCTTGTCCCAGATTCTGGCAGCATGCACTGGCTGCTAATCTCCTGTTACCAGTGAGATAGTGTAATAGCCCTCAGTTGGGAACATCCTTTCCAGGCAGTCTGATTAATCTCTCTCCAAGTCCTCCACCCCGTGCTCTGCCCCCACTTGAGTTTGGTCATACATATTTTGATGCACATGACTTGTGATTTTTCCAGTGTCAGTGTGCTTGGTGTGAGACTAAAAGCCTGTGAAGATGGGTGACTAAGACCCGTTGACCGTCATGTGCACCTGCATCTCAGCTGCACTTTCAAGAATGTTTTGTCAAGATCTGCTGGACAAATCCGAGATTATCTTACTTTAGGACATTTTTAATGGAATATTGTGACAGCTGTCTTTCTGTTGGTCTCTGCAGAGGTTGCTCTGTGTGTGCTTGGAAATGAGTAAATAATTTTCAAAAATTAGGAAATAAATGTGCTATGCTGCCTACGGGGAAAACACTTCAAGTTCTCATCACAGTGCAAACTAAGGCACTGAGGGTGTTGGAAAAGGCCTTGTTCACAACAAATCCTGTCATGCTAATGCTCTTTATCTGCCTTACAAAACAGCCTCTTCCTTGGATAATTGCTGCTTAAGCTGTTGAATAATCCTTACAGTTCCAGAAACACATAGCTATCAAGTGTTTTACTGGAAAAATTGTTAACGATTTTTGTTCTTTTGATTGTTTTGTGGGTTGCTTGTTGCCGTTCTTGATCACTTGTTGACTAAGGTTCTGGATTTAAGCATATCAGGTTCCTCGGTTTCGAGTGGGCTGATTCTGCTTGATAATCCTATTGCCAAATTTTGTGTGTAAATTAGAATAGATTTTCAGATTAGCTTAAAGGCTACTGTTATTTTTATTGTTGCAATACAGAGTGTAAGAACAGGATAAAAGGCAGATTTTGTTTTAATATTTAGGCATGTTCTTTAGAAACCAAAGAAAGAGAGCACCATCTGTGCCCTAATAAATGCTGAGTGTGCCCTGGAATGAATTGGAAACTATGGTGGCATCATCAGTGCTGATTACATGCAAGAAAATGTGGTTTGGGATAAAAGCTTTGCTTTGCATTCTAACAACAAAGTTGGAAGCTTTTGTCTTGGCAGAGTACATGAGCATATGCTTAGCCTTAAGCATGGAAAAAGCCATTGGCTCTAATAAAACTATAAGCATATTTAAAATTAAATGTATTCTCTAGTGCCATGCTAGATAACTTAACTTCTGCCTTATTGGAAACTGTTCATATAAATGATTATTTGTTAATGGCAATTTGTTTTAAAGAATCTGTTTGTGGTGATCCTAAAACTTTTAAAATTGAAGTTGGTTTTATGGCCCCAGTTTTTACATTTTTCTTTTCCTTTGAATCATATATACTGTGGAAACTGAATGCTTGCTTTTCACTTGTTTATGCTTAATTAAGATTCTGTTAACTCAAGTAAAATATCCTCAGTTTTGACAGATCCTTTGCATAACTAAAGACTGGTAGCAAGTTGGTCCTTGAAGGAAGGTTTTATTTTAGTCTTTCACTTCACAATGGCTACATGGAAGATTTTTAAAATCAGTGACTAAGTAGACTATTAGATTATGTCTATCTGAACCTAAAACTGGCATGTGCACAGTGATTTTCCTGTGTAGGTCTTTGGGTTATTTTGCATTTTGTTCAAAGAGATCAGGCTTTCTATCTTTGCTTCAGCTGAGAAGTATATTTTGTTGGTTGCTAGTTAAAAAAAAATAAATAAATCAAAACTGTAACTATTTAGAAACTTTTAATTTATTTCCTTCCCCTAGTTAATCAAACCCAAAACAACAAAGCAAACAAACGTCAGTTTCAGAAGGTCAGAAATAAAAACATTTTTGTTGATGTTGTGTTAGTATGATCTGGTGAACCCAGCAGCTACAAAATGGAAGCCAAAGTCTGAGACCTAAGTGAGACACTGCCACTGACTCATCGTGAGTCTTTGAGCAAATTCTTTCAAGGCAATGGGTTTATTGATTCCCAAGTTGTGTAATTTGGTGTAGTGTTCATGGAACAGCTTAGAGTGGAACTGTAAATTGGCCCAGGATTCAACTCCGTTTGGCTGCTTGCAAATAAATGAACTTTAAAACCTCTGATATCCTGAGTTTTATTGCTCAATGTATGTTGACTTAAAGATAATAGTTCTGTATACTGTTATCTGATATAGTTTCAAGGAACACAAAAGACCTTGATCTTGCAGAGCATGAGGAATACTTTTTCCATGACAATCAGGAGAGTGATGTGCAGGCAGGTAGGACCACTGACATCTGTATAACTGCAGTAAATAGACCCAAGATTCCTTCGCCTTGTTTGTTTACTTAAGGCACAAGACAGCCTTTTGCCTAAGGTCACCTTTCTCCTGTCTTCTGTGGACCTGACAGATGGCCACAGCTTTAGGGAAGCCTTATCGTAAGGTAGGGAAAGCATTGTTGTAATAACCCAAAATCCCAAGAAGGAAATTCAAAGTCATGTGCTTTTAGAGGTAAGTATTTATGACTTTAATTGATTTAAAGATTATATAGTATCTTTCTTACTTGTGGAATAACCTGTGATAAAACCTTGTTCACCTTGTGCAGAGTGGCATTGCAAGACTTAATCATTATAAACATCAACCACAGCATGAGTTCCTGGTTTTGAAGATCAAAACTCCTGCCACAGTAAGAGTTAATGAAAATAATGTGGGTCTGTTTCACTGGGAGAAGACTATTCTGTTTTTTCTGCCCTAGTTTGGATAACTTTATGCCTTTGTCAGGAACATAAATCTTCAATATAGTCTTATAATTCCTACAAAAAACTACAGCTGTTGGCAGTAGATGCCCTTCTTTCTAGGAACAGAAAACAGTTACCCAATATTTTTTACACTGAATTAAAAAAATATATGAGCTTTGATGGCGTTTGTTTATCAGAATGTTTTTCTAATCTCTGTCCGCTTGGGAATTTCTCGGTCCAAGTATTAAATTTCTTTCCATAATACATGTGCTATAAAATAATTTACTTCTAAAAGTGTTAGTATTGCACCTCTTTGTAGTGCAATCTTCCACAGAAAATCGCAGCATACTGAGAAAGAAAAAGTCTGAGATATGGCATTTGCCAAAGGAATCCTGGAGCAGCTGCTATTATCTGGCAAATGTTAGTGAATTTAGGGCACAGAGTTACACAGAATTGCCATGGGAAAGCTGTACTCTCACAACTAAGCAGGGGGTATTTTCTAATGCATGATTTTGTTGTTGTGGTACCTAGTCAACATTAAGGTCCTGTTAGACTTGGGTGAGCTTTTTTGATTTGAACAAATTTTAGTGTGGTTGAGGTTTTTCCCTGGATGCGTGGGGAGTGCATGTTTTCATATAGCTATATAAAGCTTCATGTTGTGTAACACTTTGGATGAAGTATGCAAATAGAAAACAAAGCAAAACATGTACTTATGCTGAGAAAGCCAGACAGCCTTCCATCCCCTCCCAGCTTTCATGAAGTCCTTTTTCCACAGCTGGGTCATGGGTTTCTAAGAATTTGGATTCAAATGCAAAAGCATTAAGGCATGGGAAATTTTAGTATGTCTTTCTACCTTTTGTTGGCTGCTTCCTGCCCTCTTCCTGTCCTGCTTCCTCTCCCATCTAATGCAGTGAGGAAACAGCCTGATCTCTTGCCTTTTCCATTTGGATGTCAGATAGGAGAGCAGCTGAAATGGTGGACACAAGACGGTTTTTTTCTTTCTTTTCTTTCCCTCTCCTCTCTTGTATAGCCCAGTGGCAGAAGGGGGAGTTTACCCCCATGTATGTCTGAAGGAAAGGGATGGGCTTAGCAGCCTTAGCCATGCTGGGTTTACCTGGAGATGAAGAAATGCCCTTGTGCCGCATCCTAATGCCTGGAGGCTATAGAAAATGTTATCTGGAGAGAATCAAAGGCATCCTGGTAGGAGAATTTCCCAAACTCTTTTCCACATTCCCATCTCCCCTGAAAATCGGGTGTTACATTTACAGCTTTGGCTGTGTTCCTGACCACAGTGTGCAGACTGTGAAGTCTGGCATTAAAGGTTTGTGCAGATACTCAATATTAACAGTATGCATCATGACATCATGACATGGACAAGTAATCAGCTTCACTGGTTCTGTGGAGCATTCTGTGCATTTATTTTAGTTTGTTGTGTGTAAGAGTTTCTTTTCTTTTTGTTATGTTGGGTGGTTTGTTGTTTTTTTTTTTTTTTACAGTTTAAGGAGTATTTGCTTGCTT